AGCTGAAGAAAAAGTTGTCGACATTACCAACCAGGAGGAAGCAAAGAAAGAGGGTCCCATCAAGCTAGATGAAGGCAGTACTGACCCTGATCACCTGACATCTGAGTATTCATCAAAAGAGGTTAAAATTGATAAGGTTGAGGATATAAACAAAGAGGCAGAAGTACATGAAAGTGATGAAAGGGTGGATGACCATGAGGAGGGGGATGAGGAGCAGAATCATAATGAAGAAGAAGGAATGTGCAGGCAAGAGATAGTTAAGTCGGATGAGGGTAGCGTTGAGGAAGATGTAAAGGGAGGTGATGAAATAGGAAAGCAAGCAGTAGGTGGAGGACAAGGGAAGAAGGAGTCACCAATAGCATATAATAATGTGATTGAAGAGACAGCAAGTAAGCTGCTGGAGAAGAGGAAGAACAAGGTGAAAGCTCTGGTTGGTGCATTCGAGACCGTCATTGATTATGAAACAGCCGCCTCCAAATAACAAAAAACTAACTTATTTTCAGACAAGACAAATCTAGATCATCTCAAACACGACAGCATTACTGATTGCGAGAGACTCCTCGTATATAGTAAGCTATTTTGGATAATGAAAATGGAACATCATCAGCTGCAATCTTTTTCAGGCGGGTATTCCTGAATTGTTCTTGATTATGAATTGACAGCTGCTTTTATGACTTCTAACCAGCGTGGAATTAGTTGCCGTTAAGTTAATTCTCTGTCCAATATATTTACTTCAAAATATAGGTATCTAAATCTTGAAATCTTGAATCGAGAGGAGGCATCTAGTTTATTTCTGCAACTCTTTGTATGTATTTTCCAGTTCCATGTTTAAACTAATTAAGAACATGCCAGTTATATAATTTTTGTGGTCTCTAATATTGAAGTAAAACTGTAATGTTTGTTGGATCCTGGTACACTACTTTTTTTTTCTAAATGATCAATATTGAATTGCTATCCAGATGAAACTTAAAACAACAGAATTTATACTTATTACTTGATGATGAATATTGAATAGCCAATTCAATTTCAAAATAAAGAACATATATATATATATGTATAACAAAATTATAACAAAATTACACACACACATATATGCATAATAGAAATACTAGATCGTGATCATGATCCTTATTAAAATGAAATAAAAGAAATTGATACATATATATTTATATATGCATATAAGTACATAGTAGTAACACTAGTTTGTGGAATTTATTATATATTCTATTTATTCACCAAAAATACATAATACACGTGTGTGTGTGTGTGTGTGTGTGTGCGCACATATATTTTTGCCATGTTAATATTCTTTCTTGTTTTTTGAAAAAAAAAAAAAAAAAGAGATACGATAAAATAATTCCTATGAGATAACAATGTAAAACATTATACAAGTTAGACATTACCAATAAAAAAACGAAACTAAAAATCTTGCTTAGCGCAAGAAAGAAGATGGCTGGTTGGCAGCATCTTTTCCAGCTTACAGTCCCATTTACGTGGAGTAGACTTATATGGTCCCATTTAACATAAAGGTTATTAATCTAGCTACGAACTTCTAGGCAGCTTATGTTATATATGGTCAAGGTCTATGTTGTTCGACATGAGAGATTCGTGAGCCCAAGCCCACATCCATAGGTGGTCTGGGGTCAAAACGAGCATTTCATTGAGTAGGTGTTGGCTGTAATGTCTTGCAGCTCAGGTGTTCGTGCAACCATCTGACAAGAGTGTAAAAACCCCTCTTCCACCGAAACCCTAGCTCTTATTTTTCTTTCTTTTCTTTTCCTTTCAGTCAACAGGTGCAGAAAACATTAATTATAAACATCCTTCTTATTTTGTGATAAAGAGCCTTCTTTTTTGAGGTTGGACATAAATTTTTTTTACTTTCCGTGTTTCTTGTGTGCCGAGTACAACTTTCATTGGAAGATACCAAATTTCATAGTTCTCTTTTGTTAGATGAGAAAATCGGGACGAATATGCTCCTCAATTGAGAGGTGTTTAAGAGGAAGAGCTGTATGTTTCTTATTTGATTCATGAACTTGATTAATAAAAGATATATATAGGTAGCATAAGTGCATATCATACATTGAACTAAAATCAGACACGCACCTAAACTATTACATGTACCTTAAAAATAACAAATACATGAGTTAGCACTAGTAATAAATCTATATATTTATGAATCTTTAAATTTTAAATTAATCTCAACATCCAATATGAGAGATACAACATAAATCTAAATGCGGGGTACAGTGCTTCTCTTATAGGATACTTCATGGTCAACACTAACAAATTTACTTATAGTGACCCAAATGAATTAACCACTTGAGACCTCATCTATGATAGTCATATGAATATAGTTTGTCGACTTTTTACATGTAATCTTGGCACCATAAAACTACTTATTATAGAATTTCATGGTGTTTTGGCAAGTTAAAAACAACTGAGTTGAGAACCTTATTAATTAAGGTTGACTTTTTTGTTTATGTTTAAATTCTTTAAAAGAACATTTACATTTAAAGCCATACATTTTGATGTCAAGATCAATGAGCTTTTAGATCAAGATTGGGAAGTTAAAATATTCCATATTTATTGCAAGGCTAACCATTACAAAGACAGCCTCGCCCACTTGGCCCCCTGCCTCCCTAAAATTCCATTAGATTAACTCGAGTATCAAATAAACTCAAACCATTTTTATTTTATACCATTTCATCTACTGCACTTCCCTTCTTCTTAAATAAAACATGAAAATTATACTAACTGTTAAAAGGGAAATCACAACAATCAAAACTAATGTAAAATTAAATTAATAGTGAGGCAAATATTGTCAATGTATAATATGATACCACAAGATATGAATGATAAATTCTATAATACATTATTACCAATAGCTTAATTTTTATTCACCTCCGATGAAAAACTAAGGCCAAAAATAATTGGTTAGTTTCTTACGCATTCAAGAAACCAATGCATATACATACTCCATTAATGAAGATTTCTCAAGAAAACGCAAAAAGCAAAACTCATAAATAATTAAGAAAGAAAAGAGGGAAAACCAAAATGCAAGGAAAAATAAAAATCCTGAATGATCAAACAATCAGGGGAAAAAACATAAGAATCAAACAAAAAAAAAATTATGTTCTTTGTAGAGAATAATAAAACCAAGATACGGTAACCTCGGGTTTTCATATTCTAATTAAAACTGTTGCCACCTCCACTGTAACGTAGCTGCAAAGAAACCTGTCTCTCCATTACAAGTTGGCGACGAAAATTTGCGATAAAAATCTCAGCCCTCCTATCAATATCATCATCTTCATAACCGTAGCTTCTTGTCCTTTCGAGTGCTCGATTTTCATTGTTACTGTAATTAGTTTGTTCGTCATTTTTGATGCATATTCCATGCAAACCTAGTGTACGATCATTAAAGCTCGTCCATGGCCGCCTCTTCAAATGGCTGTTAAGTAGAGAACAGAAACGCCATTTGGGTATTGCTACCCGGAAGCTGAGCTTCTTCAACATCGCTCTCTTAAGGCGGCTTAGCACTGCCCATTCTTCTGCTGTGTCCATAATGGGATAATGTTGAAGGTGAGATTTTCATATTTATGGTTTCTTGTGTATATATACACACACACACACATATAATAAGAGGAGAGTCTTCTTCCCAGAGAAGATACTAAGCTTTACTAGGAAAAGCCTAAATCATTACCGTGTTAACGTGACAGCCACAGCTTACTTGCGTGGGGAATTTCATGGAAGAGTACTGTACGCTTTACTGCGGCTTCGCTAAATTACGTCGTCTGTCGCCAAAAAGTCGTCATAGCATATGGACAGAGGGCTAGTTTTCCGACAGGTGTCGTGCTCCTCTTCAATTGTCTTCTTGCATTTATGCCCGCCTGTTAGCAGAGTTTTCTCTCATTTTATTTGTGTCATCAGATCTCATGAAACTGAAAGTTTATGTAGGCTAATGAAATTTCCATACATCAATTATTATTATTTAATTATGCCAAGTTGTTGTGTCAAAATCCATTTTACGTACTGACCATTTACAACAGAGATTATGAAAGTCTAAGAAAATATAGATATATACTTGGTCAAAATTCAAACTCCTCGATAATCATTGAAAAGAGGAAGAAAATAATTTCCATATGAATGAGATTGTAAAATTAATATATGTAAATTATGGTCAGGAGTTGCAAAGAAATTTAAAGGAAATTGATGTGGGTACATGAAAATCATTTGTGACTGAAAATTTAAGAAGGCCAAGGAGAGGGGGGGGAATAAGCATTTCCAGCTCAAAAGGCTTAGCCTTTTTCACATGAATCAGTGTTTGGAATTAGGATGCTGCCTAAAAGCGTTATAAAATTTCCAAACCAACTTCTCTCGCTCAGAACACGGCTGCTCTCCTCTTTTCTTTCATGAAAACCGAAAACTTGTGGAGTAAGACAGACTGAAAATTTCCCAGAAACAATTCAACTGCACAAAAATTTTGACATCCCTCCAACTCATGATAGCTTCACATGTACCATGTTAATTAATTAATTAATTCTACTATTTTTTTAAAAGAAAATTATCAATTTCTTTTTTTAAAAAAAAAAATAATAATAATAATTTTGCAATCTAAAATTATTTTCAGAATAAATTCAAAATTTTCGTTATAAAATTATCCCAAGGTGATCTAACAACAAGCCACACACACCTGAATGCTGCGGTTTGTTTGCTTTTCTTTTTGGTTCAAGACTATACACCCCGAAGGTATTTAACGGTGTGAATTGAAAGACAAATCAAGTAAAAGAAACAGAGAAACAATTACCAAGAAATGGTCATATCCATCTTTTATAAGGTAAAAGTTTCTGCCCTGCTATCTCTGGGACAGGTTCAATAAGTTTACACAATTGTTCAGCTGTAAAAACTCCAACTGCCCTTGAATTGGGACTGTAAGGGGTACCGTGTAAATTGCTATATTTTACTACTATCACCATTTTGTACCTCTTCTCCAAAACCAGATCAATCACATGACTAATAGAGGTCGCGGTGGTAACGCATGGAGGTGGGCTTCGCATCATTGTCATAAGTGGGGCATTCAGCTGCATAAAGGCATGCAAAGTTTAAATTAGCTCAAGTTACACATGGCAGGCTAAGATAATTCCTCATTCAATCACGAATTCATCCTCAGTGGTATACAGTAGCTAAAAGTTTTCTTATATCTCTTTTCCTTACAACTTATTGGGAACTGTTTTGT